AAATTTGAGAAGCATGTCCCCTATTCTTTCATCCAAGTCATTGATAAACTTATCATAGTACACATTTAAATATAGATTGAGTTTCCCTTATCTAAAATGCTTGAGACCAGAGGCATTTTGAATTTTTTTTGGGAGGGCAGAATGCCTGTATTTGCATATACTGACATAATGACATATCTTGGAGATGGGACTCATGTCTAAACTCAGATTTCATTTATGTTCCCTATATACCTTATACACATAGCCTGAAGGTAATTTTATACAATATTTTACATTATGTGCATGAAACAAAGTTTGTGTACATCGAGCGTAAGTAAGAACGTAAGAAAGTAAAGGTGTCACAATTTAAGCCACCAAGGAAAAAAACGTATGATTTTTGAAATATTTCAGATTGCGGAATTCCAGATAAGGGAGACTCAACCTCAAATAGGTAAAAGAGAAGACAGAGAAAGGACCTTTGTGAAAAATCACCAGCAGTTGCTCTCCATGACCTGCCATTGATACCACAGGACCAGGGAGGCTGAAAATCTCTTTCTGGACTCCCCCAATGGTGAACACACGAAGCAGAAGGGTGCTAGTGGCACAAGCAGCCCAGCCATGGCCCAAACAAATGGCTTCGACCTCTTCATTTTGCAACATGTCAACAGTCCATTCTTTGTTGGAATCCCAGGAGTTAAAATGGATGCAGTGAAGTTTGCTAAAAATGAATGAGGAAAATGGCAGCAAGCAAAATATCAGAAACCACAATCTTCATTTTGTACTTCGGGTTGGGGGGGGGGGTCCTGCCTCTGATACAAGTAGCTGAGTTTAACTTAAGGCTGTGTGGTGTAATGGTTTGAATGCTAGACTATGATTCTAGAGACCAGGGTTTGATTCCCAGTTTGGCCATGAAACCCATTGTGTGATCTTGGGCAAGTCATATGTTCTCAGCCTTGGGAAAGGCAATGGCAAACCTCCTCTGAACAAAATTGGCCAAGACAACCCTTATAGAGTCTCCATAAGTTGGAAACGACGTGAAGGCACAGAACAACAACTTGTTCTCTTTTTATTTAGAAATTCAGCAATTCCTTGAAGAACACATCTGTTCAAAACACATTAAGAAATCTGAAAGTTAAGTATTAATTTAAAACATGCATTCATTAGCTATACCCTTTCTCAAGAGTTGACATATGCCTAATAACAGCTGTGAGATGTATTATTCCATCCTGACAACCACCAGCAACCCCTTGCCAGCAAGCATGTCAAAGCTATTTTTTCCATGTTGTGCTCCACTCAGAAGTGTTAGAAAAACTAGTGTACCTTGCCAGCTCCTCTGTGCTATCACAGGCTAGTAAAATAGCTTCACTGGAAAGGTCAGCCATTGTATGATTCAAAGAGTTTGGCAAGTGCATTGCATGATGTATTGCAGTGTCATGGAATTCAATATCAATAGCATTGTCTTGCTCATCATTATAACAGCGAATAATGCCAACGGAGTTCCACACCTGCAAACAGATGTCAAGACTTATTGAGGAAAGGCAAGGTAGAAATGTTCAAAATAAATAATGCCTGATTTGCTCAAAACTAGATCCACATAACTTGTGTTCACTTCTATATTGACTATGTATCTATCTGTGCCGTCAATCTTACTTTAATGTGCTATGGGGATGCTGTAGTGAGCATGATACCAGTCACCAACAGTGATGGCTTGGGGTAACTACCTGTTTCATCAAATGCTATTTCACAGCTCAAGTAGCTATGGAAGGGGTAAGAATCCCAGACTACTGTAACATCCTCTAAGTGATACTGCCTTTAAAAACTATCTGGAAACACCTGTAATTATAATTGTAACCCCACTTTTCCTGACTCTGAGATTCAAGGCAGCCTACAAAAGTTAAAACAGATACACCAAATAATAAAAAATAATTAGGTTACACCAAAGATAAGCTAAATTTGAAATAATTACCCTATACACAAAATTAAAAGCAAAATTTTCAAAAAGAACAACAAATATAAGTAATACAGCACATGGAAGGCTCTTTCACTCTGAGCAGTCAGCCCTATATGGCCTGTTGAGATAAAAAATGGTCTTCACCTGTCTACAGAAGGAAAGCAAAGAAGATACTAGTCTAAGCTCTCTAGGAAGCAAGTTTCAGAGCATGGAAGCAGCAACTAAAAAAGCTGTCTCCCATGTTCCCACCAAATGTTCCAGTAAGGGTGGTGGGACAGAGAGAAGGGCCTCCCTAGAAGATCTCAAGACACAGGCAGCCAATGAAACAATAAAACCCTGAAATTACCATGAAGCGATGAGTGAGATGCACTGGGGTGGAACTAGCCTGGAATGGCTTTTGCCGAGGAGTTGGCACTGGCCCATCATAGAAAGGTCTTTGGGTTGATGAGAGTGGCTGGATTGGAGCAAGGCTTTCCTCATCATCCTCTTTATCAAGGGCAGAATTAGCCTTCAACAATCCACCATCTGTGAAAGATAAGGTTACCATGAGAATTTTACAAAGGCAAGTCTTTTTACAGTTCCCAGAGGGTGCTGGTAGCTAAACTGACAACATCACTACAAAATTATGTACTGGTAGCTACCCCCAGTGTTCATCCCTCCTGTACCCCTTCCACTGCACCTCACACTTTACAGAAATTCTAACCTAAGGAGTTCTCATCATCCTCTATTATCGCTCCTTTGTTTCTGGGTCGTCCTGATGCCATCATAAGGTCATCATCTTCATCTTCATCATTTCTTACTGCTTTTGAACCCCAGTCATCCCCAGTCAAATCTCCATTCAGAAAGTCCTCATTATCGTCCTCATCAAAAAGATCATCATAGTCTTTGGTAGCAGGAGCTGATGCCTGGAACCAAGATTTAATTGTTAATGATCTTAAACATATATGCGAGTTCTGTATCAAGAAAACAGGAAACTTTATCCTCAAGTCTGCAATACTCCAGATTTACACAAAAATTTACACCAGCCACCTCGCAAATAAGAAAACAAAACAAAGATTGTAATTTATATTACCGTGTGATTTGATTTCTTTTCCTCCACATCACAGACATTTTCAATCAGTCCCAGATTTCCTTCCATGTCTGTATAAGCAATCTGACCTCCTTTTGGGTGCCATGCCAGGCCACAGATGGTATAACCCTTTTCATGTTTCACCCTTTAAAAAGGCAGTATATATAATAAAAATATTAGGGTGGCATAGGAACCTGTGGTTTAAAAACCACATTCCACTATAATGGTTTCAGGAATAGGAAATGTCTTTGGTACATAGAATTAGAGCTGGTCAAAAAGTGAGCTGCGTTAGATTCACTGTTGCAGAGGAACAATATGTTATAATTTTAGTTACACTTGCTTTAGCTTAATTATGCTATTTTATCCTCTGAAGAATCCTGTGTTTAAATAACAGCCAGTGAATGGCTCTAACTTGTTGAGGGGGAATTTCAGCTTATGCTTCTTTTGGCTCATCCGGCATGTTATTCACTACACTACACTTGTTCAGGAACCAAAAAGGTTTGACTGAACCAAGCTGAAGATGTTCTTCCAGTTTTAGTTAATGAGGGCCTCTCATCTTATTTATACATTCTAATTAGGCAAAAAGAAACAAAGTCTGTTACAGACTTTGGGCTGACAGTTTTGATTTGATGTAAAAAATGGGCCAAGGCTTCTCTGTCAACAGAAAGGAAAGTGAGGCTGTCCCATCATAAGCTGTTTCACCTCCAGACTAATCCAATGTTATAAAAAAAGCAAATGCTGTGAAAAGAATCAAGCGTCCACTTTTACAAAGAACATTGTGAAAATAAACTGGTACCTCTCCAGGCACTCTTGGGTGTCCATGTTCCAAATCGCTATACGGCCATCAATACTTCCACCTGCCACATACTGTCCACATGGAGACCAAGCTACAACATTGAGGGTCTAGCAAAAAGAAAAAGATTAATTGTTAGCTGTGGAATCATCTTACTTTCAGTTTTGGTAATGAACTATTATGGTGATTATTAATGCTTTGTGGGATTTTCTGGGTAACCTGAAAAGAAAGATACAGAAAAGATGATGAGCACTTCTGATTTTCCTTTATCAGCTTTGTGAGGGATGAAAAGAATTATATTTTAAAATATAGCTTATGCCAATCAGAAAGTTCAGAAACTATTTCCAGTTGCCACACTTCTATAAATTCATCTTGATTCCTCTTTACCATTTCAATGAACAGCAATATCTCACAGGCAATCTGCTTCATTATGCTGTCATTTACTCCCCTAAGCAATGAGACATCTGAAGGCTGTACTACTGGGTTGAATTTACCTGTCAGGACAACCATCACAACTGAAATTTACCATATCACTGTAATTATTTATTTATAACATTTACAAACAGAGAATGTTAGCAACAATCAGATTCCCAAACAGCCAATGAACCATGTGTGCAAGTATAAATTATAACTTTTTACATCCAAACTCTAATTTTCTCTCTCTTCAAGTATATCACTCACACACTATTGGTAAACTATCCATTTAGGAAAACATTTCTAACCATTAACAAGCAACCAGCTTAACCCTACTGAATTAGGATATTAAAACCCTGCAGTGAGTTGTATTTCTGAGCTCAATGATAATTCCAGTGTAGGCTAGAGTACAATGCACATTTGTACTGTCTGACCCAAATGCCCCCCTTCCCTGTGAGGCCAACTCACTGGCAACCAGACAACATCATTTCAGCTGCAGTGTATCATGATTTGCTGAAATACAGCATGAGATTTTTTTTTGTCCCAATACATTATACTGACCAGGACAAAAATGACACCAATGGCAAACAGCAATAGATCTGTTGGGACAACTTCTGTCCCAATCAATGTTTTCCTATACATTGTATCTCATCCTCTTCTCTCTCATTCATGCTAAGTGCCTAAAATTGGGGGAAATTGTTTACAGCTGTTCATGGGACTGAAATGTAGAATGGCTACATTTTAGGACTTGTCCTACATGGATGGCTACTGGGATCTAAAATACCCAATTATGTTCCATGAAGATTAAATAAAGAATAGTCAGCTCTTCTTTGCTATACCACTTTCCTTATAACACAGTCAAATTTAACAGTAGCTATTTAAAGGATACTGACCTGTGTAATGAAATCATCTGTCAGATCCAACTGATGATGCCACGTTTCTCTTCTGTACAGTTTAATGACTTTCTCTACTGGAATGGCTAGTAGCTAGCAGAGCAAAGTGAGGGAGACGTTACTAGTAATTGTGTGAATCTTAACAAATATTGATGCTTCCTATTACAAGATCTCACAAGATACAGAGACCTGAAACACAGCTGGCTGTACATAGGTTCACTTCTATTCTCTAAAAGCTACAAGCAGTATGCTGTTATATTTATATATTTATTAAAATGTGTACTATGCCCTATATCCAAAGATCTCAAGGTGAGGCACAATCCATAGGACAATACAAAAAGAATCTAATATATTAAAAACCAGTTCATGAACATTAGGTCTCAAATGTTTGGGAAAACAGTCAAATTTTAATTTGATGGTTAAATGAGGCTAACATCAGTACCAATCTGTGGGCTGCATGCGGCATCACATCACCATTTATTTCTTTGTTGATTTATTTCACTTACCATATATACTTCACACACACACACACACCTCAGCAGCTTTCAGAAATCACTGCCAAAGGCAGGGAGAGTGGGGCATGGAGGCGGTGCTTCTTTTAGGATCTTTCTGAGCTATATTAATGTATTGACCTAGTCGACCTAGGATTTTAGGGACAGTTTCTGGGCATAAATTTTTCGACTTACAGTCGAGTATATAGTATATGCTACACTTGAGTTGAACAAGATTGCAGAGAAATTACTGACTGTGGCAACAGGAAACAAGCATCAAGGTTTAAGGCAGATAAGA